CAGCTCTGATGGCAAGGGTGGTGTCTTGGGAAAGTAGGTAGCCGCGGGAACTAAAAACATCTTGCTTTAAAAGCGTGTGCACATCATTTACTCTGGGCTAGATGAATCAGACATAGATCTAGGAGGCTGCCAGTGCTGTATGGTGTTTTGCACAGCTTCTTTTCAAAGCTGTGCAGCTCCTTTCTAAGATGAGGTTAGTCAGGCTGGGACCACCCAGCCCTGTCCCCAGCTAGCACGGCTGAGCAGACCAGTCCCAGCCATCACCTTGGGCTGATGCTGGCCTCCCCCGAGGCCCTCAGCTGACAAATCAGACTCATTCATTCTGGATGATGGCAACGTTTTTCTCCCCAGCCTGTGCCAGTTCTTGCCTCCAGGCATCAGATGGGTGTCCCAGTTTCTCTGTTTCTGGAAGCCAGGAGGAAGCATCTGAGGGCTGCTCCCACTGGGGCTGCTGTCAAACTGCTGTGAGGGCACACAACTGCAGGCTGTGAGGTGGGGGTACAGGTCTGCCATGTGCAGACACCCCATCTGCAAGAGGCCCCAGCATGGGTACCAGGAGCTCCACACACCCCAGAGCTCAGCTATCCCCTGCTGAGCCACTGCCCTTGCTGGCCTCAGCTGCATCCCTGCAGTTGAGCCTAAGTCTGAGCTTAGGCTGACCAGTTCCCACACTCCTCCCATAGCAGAGAGGTGCCCAATAAGGCACAGAGCTCAAAGCTGCACCTGGATCCCAGCTCTCCCCTACTTCCTGACCCAGCTTGTCCTCCTCCATCAGTGCTCCATTAGTCACCATTAATCCCTTTTTTGTATTCACAAACAGGTTAACCTTGCCAGTGGTCTGTGGCAGGGGTTTCCACAGCTTAAACTATATGTTGCGTGAAGAAATGTCTCCTGCTTCCTCTCAGTCTTGCACTTGAGTATTTCGTCAGATGCCTCTTTGTTGAAGAGAACACACTTACATGGTCACCCATTCCATGGCACTTAGCTTCACAGATCTCTGAAGCAAACCTCAGCCAGCTCTTTCCAGCTGAATACACCTGGTTTATCAAGCCAGCCCTTACACAGGAATCATTTGGAAGTACTCTGCTTTGCCTGACTCAAAACCTCAGCTCCACCAGCTCTGGCTGAGATCACAAGGCAGCAGGAGCACACAGAGACCAGGCAGCTCTGCAGGGAGGCATCGGGAGTCGCAGAGCAGCTCTGCCACATCCCCCTCTCCCTTTGACACCTGCTTTCCCTTTGAACACCGCCCTCAGTAGCCCTGCGCTCGCCGCAGGGCAGGCAGAAAGCTCCAGCACATGCAGTTACTGATGCCAAACATCTAAGGAGCCGGTGCAAAATGAGCTCAGTGAGACAAAGCCATCATACTCCCCTAACCAATGTATCCTTGTAAATTAAGGGGTTTAGCACATTTAAAGACTAATTATGCAACTACACATTTTGGAGGGACATCAGGGTAAGGGTCCAAAACAGAGACCCAGCTATGTGCACACAGGTTTTATTTTGAAGCTTAACTGCCTAGGAGGTGCTCATTTCCAAACACAGAGGATGCCCAAATATTAATACATTTTTTGGAAACGCTTTTGCACAAACTTGTGCTCTTAAAGTGAGTCCTGAACCATTGAGGCAGATCCCTAATGGCATACAGACCCTGATGTCAGAGGTAATCAAGTACTATTACAAGAGCTGCTGGCTGTGGGGCCCCTCCTGCACACACACATGGGTACATATGGAAGTTATTAACGAGTTTCAGCGAGGGATTTTGGGAAATTAACCCCTGAGGCCCCAGAGCACTGCTAACAGACAGCTAGTTGAGAGCAGATGAAGAGCAGTTTCCAGCTGGATGCCTGCAGCGTGTTGGGACTGAAATCCAGGCCCTTCGGAACCAGCTGGTAGAGGAAGCCCCTCTCACAAGGACTAAACTTTTCAACTTCTGCTGTTAGGAAGAACGGTTGAAAAAAACCATCTGCAAGGCTGTATAAGTTTCCTCAACAAACTGAAATGAGTCAGCTGGAGAAATGTATAACATAACATATAAAAATGCAAACAATTTCATTCTATTCCCCAAATGGCGTTCAAGAGCTTGTGAGGAAGTTGGTAATTTCTTTGCAAGTCCCTTTAGGAGCCACCAAAAGAAACATTTGGACATGGGCCACCAGGAGCTGCTCCTACAAGGCGGAGGGACTGGTTTAGAGGCAGGGTGATTAAAGTGAACATCTCCCACTCAGTTACTCCTAGGATGTAAATTCTTACGGCTTTGCTTTGTGCATCTTCTCAAGAGTTGAAAGGAAAAGGCTCTTCTTCCAACATCCAAGCAGAAAACAAAGGAGGGCTCTGTAACGCCTGCCACAGCCTATGCACTTTTCATGTTCCTGTTCTTCCCAGATTGGTTTCCTTTCTTGCACCAATCCTGATCTGCAAAGTGACCTCTCCTTGGGAATAATGAGGATACTCACCCATAATGTGCTTTAAACTTCCGTAATATAACAATGCTTGGCAGTCAGTTGCTGCTTTTCATCCACAAATCCCAAATCAATTCGCTGCAGCTCTGCATGGAATTGACCGACTTGTGAGATGGAGATGAGCACTTGCTGTGCAATTAAAAAAACAACAAATAAAAGAACAAAATAAAGTAGGTTTCATTAAAATCCAAACCATTTCCTCCCCCCTTGGAGAGATTTTCCTAAAGCACAATACTGGCTGCAAACAGGGCTCTTCTGCAACCTCCAGCCATACAACCCAAGATGCTCGTTTTCAGCCAAATGAGAACAGTTCACAGCCAGGTCAGAGCAATACGGTCAGAAAGCTCTTCCCTCGGTGAGGTACAACCATGGCCATAAACCAGACGCATTCCTGTGCTCAGCTATAAACATGGAAGAAATGAGCCTGCTCCTTCTCCCCTCCCCAGTTTCCAAAAGGAAGATGGTAAGGCAGACAAGGCAGCTCGGCATCAACACCACCAAGGAAGAAAAGGATCAAGGGGACAGGCAGGGTGCCTGCGGTGGCAGACCCAGTCCCATTCCTCCCGCAGCAGACAGAAAGGGAGGGCAGCTGTGTTGCTTACCCCACCAAGGTAGGGCCTTCACCAAAAAGCCAGGGAACAGTCCCAAAACGCAAGTGTCCAGAGCCACCTGAAATGCCCACAGGGGATGGCAGGGCAGGCATAGGAGCTATAGGAGACTTGTGTTCTGCTGGAGCTCTGCACACAAAGCACTGAGGGTGAGCAAAGGGATGGTGTGCAATACCAGGGCAAATCCATGGCAGCCAGCAGCAGCTGGAACACGTGTGTGGCCTGGGAATGCTCCCAGCAGCACGGGTGGTTTCCCTCCACCAGCACGCCATGCCACCATCCTGGTCTGCACACCACACCAGCAGCACACTCCCTGTGTAGCATCCACCCTTCCCTCCACAGGGGGCTTTGCAACCACAGCCCCTGCAGTGACAGCACTGCCACGGCTCTGCCCCATCACCTCCTCCATGGCCCATCCCACCTCTCTGCCCTATGCAAACACAGGACTGCAGAGCTGTTCAGGGGAAGGGACCCCAGAGAGTCCCTTCCAGCCGAACCTGAGGCTCACACCAGGGCCAGTTCTGAGGTCACACGAGGTTGCTCTAGGCTTGACCTGTTAGGTCCTGAAACCTTCCAAGCGTGGAGACCACACAACGTCTCCAGGCAACCCACTTCCCATCTGGACTACCTTCATAGAAAAAGGGCTTCCTTGTAGCCAGCTTGGGCTTGTTTTCCCTATGTCTGCTGTGGCTTGTTCTCCCACTGCACACCACTGTGGTGAGCCTGGCTCCTTGCTGACCTCCTAGTAGGTGCAGGCAAGCTGCTGTTAGGTCCCTCTGAAGCCATGTCCTGGCACCCAACCCTCACCCATGGCATCACAGCCTGACTCAGGCATCTGAGGGCTCCAGTTCACCACATCTAATGAACCCAGCGACGATGAGAGATGCAATTACCTGCTTAGCTTTCTGCCCTGGCCCTGCACCAGACTACAACTCTGGAAGAAACAACACCATAGCCACATGCCAGCCATCACGCTGCACGTGGACCCTGTGATAGTGAACAATCCCAGCTCATGCTTTTGCACTGGTCCGAGAGCCACAGCAGCCATAGAGCCACTGAGCTGCCCCTGGCCTCCCTGGGACCAAGAGGAGCCAGTGGCAAGAAGATGGCCGCTGCTCTGGCACTTATTTAACTACCTTGGTTCATAAGCCAATGCCCCGAGGTAGGAGGGCAGGCACCTTGCTGTCAGCAAAGCGACACAGCTCTCCAGAGAATAATTCAATGTCCAAGTTAGGCTCCTGTGATGAATCACACCCATCTCTCTGTGTCTCTGCTGACTCCATGCTTTGGGTCCTCAGATAAGATACCTGAAGCCAAAAGAGCAAATTCAGAATAATCTCCCCCCACGTTTGGCTTTTCCCCCCTGTTACAGGTCTGAAGGGGAAAGTCAGCGTGAGCTCAGCAGGCTGCCTGCCTGGCTATGGATGCCTCGGGGTGTGCTGAACAGTTCGGCTCAGATTTTACAGGACCTCGATTTCTCCTTTCACATAGCTGCTTTTAGTCACTTATTTCAATGACATCATACCTGCCTGCTACCATGAAATGAACCACAACCTTATTTAAGCTGACCCTCTCATTTGTACCCAAGGTCACCAGTTGGAGTTCACTGATGCTGTGCCCTGTTCTAGGATCTTGAATTCTCATGCTTCTTTCAAACACTATACAAGCTTTAAGGTACTAAAAATACTTCTGGAAACCTCACCCCTATATTACTAGGAAGTATCTTCTGTTTAGAAAATTCTTTACTTGAATACAGTATAAGATGAATTAAGCTTATTGTTCCCAACTGGGGCCGTTCACTTATGTTCTGCTTTTGGTCTTTAAAAGAAATTCACTTGTTTGGTTTCAGTTTGATTGCCACGCACTAAGCTGAATTTCCAACACGGCACTGGAATGAAAATATCACCATGTATTCACTGACTTTTAAAAATTAGTGTAAAAACATGTTTATTAAATTCTTTTAAAGTCTTATATAAAAAATTCTTTTGCCTTTTTGGAGGCAAAACCAAAACGTCTTTTTATGCTCCCTAGGTGGCAGCAGCATACCATCAGATGAACATAGGAAAAGGTGCTGGATCCCGTCTCTGCACATCCTCCCAGGGCAGACCTGACTCTTCAAACCAGGATTACCTCTGCAGAAATACCATGCCCTTAGTATAAGGTAACTCATCTGCACTCCCCAAAATCTGTTCAAATAAAGCAATGCAAAAGCCAGTGAAGCTGCATGCATTGTACATGGCTGCAATGGTTTCTCTTTAGTGCAAATGTTGGCCTCTGAAGTGGCAGGCACCACATTCATGCTGCAAGGAACGAAACGGGTCTCACTCCACCATGGCTACATGAGTCTGCAGATGCCTGAGCTGCACTGCTGTGGCACTGGACTCAGCCACACCACTTCACGAGGACAGATTTGTAACAGAAACAAGCTTAGGCACTTGGGGACAGAAGAAAATGCAGGGCTCACCTGGGAGGACAGGCAACTCACCTTCTCAAGCTTATAAGTTATAAATGGAGCAAAGAGCAGAACTTGGAGGGGATGGGAGGGGGAAATCGCTGCTCTTCAGGTTTGGTTTTACCCCAGGCGTCTCTGGGGAAGGCCACACATGCTGTGCATGTACAAGGACACAGCTGTCACAGCCAGTGGGTTTGAGGCCTGCTCTCCCTGCTCTCCCAGCAGCCAGTCCAGCCCCATCGGTGTGGTGTGTGTCCCACCAGCACAGCCACCTAACAGGCATCTCCCTTTGTCTCCCATGTGCACAGCATCATCTCCCAGCCCAGGGCAGAGAGGGGCTAGGGACGATGCTCCTGTCTGACCCTCCCCTTCCACCCTGGGGTGAGACCACCTCCTCCCTCGGGCACATCCCGGAGGAGCCCCCCAGCCCTGCTCCATCCCCTGTTGCAGCACTAGCAGGCAGGCTCTGGCAGCACAGTTCTCGCAGCATAGGCACTGCCTGGCGGCTCCGGCACAGTGGCTCAGAGAAGACGAGGGGTGTTCCCCCCATCTCATCAAAGTGCAAGGGGTTGTTCCGGGTCCCCGCCACCACCAGCTCCAGCAGCCGGACCACGCAGTCCGAAAACCAGTTCTTCAGGCGAAAATAGCCCTCCTGGAAAGAGATTCGGAGGCTGACGGGCCCTGTTGGCATCCGCACACTCAGGCTGAACAAGCAGTTCCCCTGCGAGCTGTCACGCACCAAGTAGGTGCCGACAGGCTCCTGCTGGAGCTTGGCATGAGCTTCTCCCACAGACAAGGGGCCCCAGTAGAAGTCGCTGGCCTGGAGGATACTGAGGGATCGCTCCAGGATTTCCCATTCGCAGCTGCGAAACATCCGGAACCGATCAGGCAAGCCAGGCGGCACGGGGCTGGGGAGAACACTCCGATGCTGCCTTTGCGGATGAGAAGCAGTGTTGTGCGTGTTGTGCAGATCATCTGGCCTCCCTCTGATCATCTCTCAAAGAGCCCATGGATCCTGGAAAGATGCTGCCTTTATCATGCTTTCTCCTTCACATGCAGCCTGTGGGGCAGAAGAAGAATGAGGCAAACCGAATACCTTCTTCTAACTTGGCAAGTGAATACACTTCACAAGGAAGAAAGACCAGCAAGAGTACCGAAGAGGGTACTAAGGAGTTACTGTATGTTACTAACCCCCATTTGTAGAAATGACCAGGGATATACATGCAGGAAAAATCACAGAATAGAGTCATAGAATGGTTTGGGTTGGAAGGGACCTTCACAGGTCATCTAGTTCAAACATTTTGCAATGAGCAAGGATATCTTCTACTACATCAGACTACCCAGAACCACATGCAGCCTGGCCTTAAATGTCTCCAGGAATGGCACATCCACCTCCTCTCCGGGCAACCTGTGCCAGTGTTTTACCACCCTTATTGTAAAAGATCTATTTAAAACCACCACTCCTCGTCTTGTCACAACAGGCTCTGCTAAAAAGTCTCTCTCCGTCTTTCTTAGAAGCCCCTTTTTAAGTACTGAAGGGCTCCAGCTGGCTCCCCACCAGGGCATGGTGGCACCTTACAGAGGTCTGCATCCACTGGGTCTCAGAGATTCACAGCTACGGCTCCCCAGCACACCTTTCAGCAGGCTGGTTTGAACCAAGCAGATCTTGGTTATTTCAGCAATTTCCTCTGTTGGATGCTTAAGGGCTTTTGAGAGTGGCCTTGAAACTGGGAAGGGGAAATGACACCCCAAATCAGAAGGGAACAATTCCCCAAAGCAAGAAAGTCTCGCTTATGTTGTAATTCAGTGAAGGGTGGAAAGGTTTCCTCACACCTCTCCAACCCTTTCTCTGACAAAAGGAGAGAGAACAAGACTCAAAAAGACTCAAAAAGATGGGAACGAGCCTTTCCCACCAAGCCTTATGAGCCACTCCTCCATCCCAGGAGATTCCTGTTTCACTGTATCAGGAGAAAGCAAAGGTCTCTGTTCAAGACCCCTTTAAGAAATGTTCATCATCAGCTTCAGGGCTGGGACTGTCCACTTAATGCTAGTACCAGACACTGCTGATGTCCAAGGAACAGTTCTGCACCTGCCCTTCCAGCCCCTTAACTGTTGTTTCTGCTGGAAGGACATCTTCCCCTGCCAGTAGACAGTGCTGCCCTCCTCTGCTTGTGTGCTGCATTCAAAGGGCCATACCTCACTGTCCCTGCCCTGCTCATCTCCTGCCCCTTGTGTCATCACCAGGATGTCTGTTTTCAGAAATGCAAACTCCTGAACTCAGTGATGCCATCAGCCAAGTCATTTCAATTATATGAAAAAATACATATTTGGCATGTGTGTGTATATATATATATGCATAAACATAAAAACCACAGCCCCAAGCCAGAGAGGCTCATTCTGTGTGAGAAGCTGAGCTGTTACATACCACTTTCCCAGGCGTGACAAGCCAGTAGCTCACCACCATGGCCTGCTCTTGGTCCCTTGACATACTCCATTAACCCAGTCACACTCACTGACAGTGCAGCCATGCTCGGAGCAGAACAGCCTGCTGACATGCAGCCTGCAGCAGAGGAAGACACACGCTCCTCCATCTCTGTGGGCAGTCCTCCCACTGCAGACTCGCAGGAACGTTTGGGCTCATGGCGAGTGGGCAGCAGGGACCTGTGGAGGGCTTGCTCTGGAGGGAGAGCTTCAGGTCAGGCTTAGCTCCTTGCAGGGTTCCCCTTATCTAGCCCCCTTTGCCAGCTATTCAAAAGCCTAGCGCTCCTTTTGGTGCTCATGACAGGTGGTTGGCCACATGGACCCCACTCTACACCTGGGAAGAGGACATGGAGCAGCAGGGCCAGATATATTTCCCTCACATGGGCACAGTAGTTTTGGGAAGGAGACATCTGTCCCCCCAACATCTCTCCCAAAACTTAACAGTAATGCCAGTAATGTAGTTGTCAGGCAGGTCTCCATACCTAAAGCTGTAAACAACACCCTTTCCAAGAGCAGCCTGAGAAGCTTCTCCAGTTTCTAGCCTTGTGATTTGAAGCCCCTGGTACTGCTCTGAATGCTGACAATTCTGCCTTTTAGATCCTGCCCTTTCAGTGTATGTCACAGCAGGAGAGAAATTCCACACTTAGAGAAAGTTGGGAGGGGTAGGAAGGAGTTAATCAAGCCGGGGTTTTCTTTTCCTTTAAAAAGATAAAACAAAGCAGGAGTTGAAAGCTGCTCGGATGGTTCAGCAAGTCAGAATAAATCTTAGGGGAAGCTGATTTAGTGGACAGAGCACAAGTAAACACAGTCACCACATGCAGCGACTAGGGCCATCTATCACCACCGAAAACTCAACACTGTAGGTGCCACAAGAAGTTGCAGCATCTCTGTCCCTTTCCATCTCCTCCCTACTGGGCAAGGAAGGTACAGAGCCCTCTGACATTGGCTACTATGGAAAAAGAAGGCCGTACTCCCAACACATGCCTCCAGGGCTGCAGCTATAGCCTCGAGGGGAGGGAGAAGGAGCCCTGCTCCCACCAACAGCCACTCTTCCCAAACAACAACTTTTCTTGGGTTCAAACAGAAATTTTGCCAATCTCATGGGTCTAGGCTAGAAAATGAATTGGAGCAGGCAAACCGAAGCAGGCAGCTGTCTTCATTTCCAGGCTACTTTTAAAAATAGCAACATAGGTAGTGTGTTTAGGGCTGCTTGTCTGTCCTAGTTTTCAACCTTGAGTCATTCACTCAAGTCCCTTAAGAAAAATCCACTGCTACTAGAAGCCCGCCTGACTAAGAACGGAGACTGTCATCAGTTTGAATTCAAAGTAAATGCAGAAATAGCACCCTCACAATTTGTTCACTCAGTTTGGAATCTGCAGATGGGTCAGAGCCTTGGAAAGTGTGAATTTGTTTAGCTTCAGTGACCCATTTCCAACAGATGACTGCCTGGCCTGCAGCACAGCATTAGTTAATTATCAATATTAGCCCTGGAAGTGCTCTTGATATTACCGTTAAGATTCACTTTTAATGAATCAACAGGTCCTATGTGTACATGGCCTCCCATGTCAAGCCCAAGGCAGGCTCTCAGGATTAGGAACAAACCAACCCAGGGTTGTAATGGAATACAATATATAAAATATAAGTCATATATAATTAGTTCTGCTTCTGATTTGCCACACCACGATTTGCTCCCCGCACCCACCCACAAAAAAGCCCCAAAACCCCAACACTCAAACACGTTTCTACCTCCCTGCTGCGAGACAAAACAGAGCTTGCCGCCAAAGCAACATACCCTAAAAAGCGGCATCCTGCTAATTAAAAGACTGGGTAAGTTTCCCCAGACCTTCTGATTTACTGCAAGTTCAAGAGCTTTTCAAAATAAGTGCTCTTGACACAGGGCATTCTGCTTTCCTCCTCTCTCACTACTCAGGCAAAGCGGTGTACTTCATACAAGGAGACAATTCTAGTAAAGGAGGGGACTGCACACAGCCTCTGGTGTCAGCCACAGCTTGACAAATCTGGCACGTTCAACAGCAGCGTCAAGTACTCAACTATCGTGTGTTCTTGCACTCTTCCTCCAGGATACTTGAAAGAGCTTACCTCTTGATATTTACCACCCATAGGGATGAGTTTCTGGATGTCAGGCTTGGAAGTGGTCCAAATTCAAGATCTCTGATGCGGTACTTCCCAGTTTTTGCAAAGCTTCACTTAAAAGCACATCCATCCTTTGAAAAGAAAAAGACAAACAGGTGACTAAGCCTGTAAGTTTGCCATAATGTGGATCTAAAATACAACAAATCCGGGGACAGGCTGTCTGTCTCAACCTCTTTGACCTGTATTATTGTAGAAGGATGCATATAGCACTTCAGTTAACAACAGAGATGACAGATTATTGTTGTTGTGATTATTATTATTTTGTCTTATAAAGCTACGAGTTGATTAGGTCCAGACAACTCTCAGATGGCCTAAGACCATAAAGTGGCCATCATCTTCTGGAAGTGGAAACCATAAACCCCATATGTTAAGAGATGACAGCAACAGGAATAAGCTTAAGGATTTGGAACAGCAAACTCAAACTTGTGCTCATTGCAACAACATTTAGAATACCTTATCTGAAACTGTGTAGATAGCCATTCACTGCTGAGTTACCCAAATGGCAATCCAGTCCATTCTGGCCTGCCCCCCCAGCTCTCAAGGCTTTCCTTTCTCACCTTATGGGTGGAAAACTAAACCCACTGACCTGGTGGAGCAGCAGACCACCACATGTGCAATAGCACATCTGTCAGTGGACCCATCAGGAAGCTGAAAAAGCAAACCCAGCCTTCATCATGCCTTTCAGAGGCATTCCCTGTAAGGCTTCCATTACTATGGTAACGGAAGTACCATTACTATGGTACTTCCATCCCTATGCTCCATTACTTAATATCACTTCTCTGCATCCCCCCCCGTAAAGCCCACACTGGGAACACACACCACAAGCCATGTTGACTTTCAGGTAGCAGAACTGTGGGTCTATCCCACTCACTACCCACTCCGTTCAGCTTCATCATGCCCAGTTACCAATCCCACCGTTCTCAGAGCAGTTAGATGGAGGCTGGGATGATTTGGAAAAGCTCTCCCTGAGATACCCTGCAAGCCCTTGCAGCAGCATCTTCACTCCAAGCAGCAGAGCCCGAGCAGACATTTCTTGCTTGCACGTCTGCATGCCACAGAAATGCGCTGCCTACTTATTTGTGGCTGGAGAGGATGTTCCAAAGGAAAGCTCCAGCAAATGGCTGGAAGAAACCTCCCTGGTAAGAGCCAAGCACGCAGCACTGTGTTTTAATGGTGGGCCAGCCTGGTTCCCACAGCCACCATCTGCCACACACTGGCAGCCGTTTAAACCATGTTGCCACCGCCGTGGTGCGTGACCACATCAATACCCCTCCTAGCAAGCACCCTACCACAGCCAAGGTGACCAGGGCAGATCCAGCAAGGGTTTTGTGGGGTGGGAAGGGAAAGGCAGGAGACACACAGACAGCCGTGCGCCAAAGAGCACAGAGGGAGCTGTGGTTAGGCGAGGAATGTGGCGCAGCTCAGCTTAGAGGACCAATGTTAATAACAGCCGATTTCTCCAGCACAAAGCTGGCCTAGGAGACGTTGCAGTTCCCTCTATCTCTTATGCCATGGCTATAAATAGAGTTTGATGTGAGGCTGCCATTATGTGTGATACATGAGGGAATATGTGGAAAAAAGAAAAAGCCCACACCCCCCACACACACATCCCAAACCAAACCAAACCTGTGCTTGTTTCCCTATGAAACCAGCATTCCAGGATGCAACATTTAATAAAATAAAACAAGCTGAGGCAGCACACGCACTGTGACAGCTCCTGCTTTCGCGCAAGTAAGAGTCACCTAGCATGATTCTGCATGCAGGCTTTGGGAACCAGCCACTGGACACCTTGCAAGGACCGGGTCTTATCAAAGCCCTCCCAACATTCTGGGGTTGGAGAACATACTTCAAAACCCACAGAACTTCCTGATATTTAGGCTTTATACTTCTTATCATAGGAAAACATGACATGTGTTTTCTGCATTAATGTGACACTTTGCTGATACAAGCTGAAAGGTTTTTACCCCAAGAAAACCCACAAGACAGTGTGATGTGCACCAAATGTTCTTCAAGGCAAGGAAACCTTCAAGCAGGTTTAGTTTCAGCATTACATGCTTCAAAGTGGAAAAAAAATAAAGGAAGGTGGCAATTTACAGGGAAAGCTAACTGCTTTTGCTGGACTAACTGGAAGAGCTGGAAGAAAGAGCCTGTTTTCAGGGTCCCCTCCTCACACCCTGTGCACATTCAGAACAACTACTTACAAATGAAACAGCCGATTCCTCCTAGAAGCAGCCCAGTGTGAGACTGTAATCCTGCCATTTCAGGGTAAAAGAGAAGCCGCATCACTTCCCTGAACTTGAAGGCTGCTGTGCAGTAGCCACAACCAACTATAACAAGTTCCACTGTACGTAAAGCTATCAAAGCTACCAACTGACTTCAGGCAAAGACAGCACCTATTGCAGATCAAATTATCCCCCATCCTCTGTAACTGGGCAAAAAAAGAATGAAAAATTAAAAGTTAGAAAATCAGTAGGGGTTACTGCTAAGTTTCAAAGCTGCAGCTGAGCCTACCCTGCCATGATTTAAGGAAAGAGAGTTGTTGTTGCTTACCTCTGGCCAGCACAACAGCATTTTTGGTGAGTGAGGGAAGCCTAATGGCATCGCTCCTGGCCTTTCCACTTTCATAGCAAGCAACCATCCCTGCAAATGCCAGTGCAGTAAAGCTACATGAAACCTCAGCCCTGTGCTCAGCTGGAGAACACAGCTCCTGCGGGGCTGCCTTTCCTTTCCTCTACCTCACTGCCCGGTGGCTGGGGAGGCAGCCCACCAGGAAGGTAACCGGGGTGCTCCCCAGTTTGGGTGCAGAAAGAAGGAGATGGGAGAAGGCATGATGAGGAAGAAGAAAGAGGCTAAGATAACACTAGTCCCTTATGGCTCCCTACTGGAAATGCTCTGTCTCATCTTCCCACTAATCAGTGGAAAGGGGGTAGTGATGCCCAGAGCTGGATCCTCACCCTCCACTGGAGCAAAGCTCTGCATCTCCCAGTCACGGCTACTCAGCCTCACCAGCTCCCCTCATCCCCAGCACAGCAGCACAGGTATGTTTCCTCCATTCCAGCCGCTTGCAGCTAAATTGACTTTTCCCAGTTGCTCCAGCACCCTGTTTGCGGAAACAAGTAAACCTTGAGAAGCAAAGGCCAGCAGTGGCCCCTGCAACGGCAGTGACCTCTTATCAAAACCATCACATTTAGCAGGAAAGGAATTCAAAGCAGCAGCTAACTTGAAGAAATGAGCAGCGTCTGCAGCTCAAACTGGTTCAGTATCATGATCAGAACTAGGATTTTAGAGAAATCCCAACCACTTAACCAACGTGAGCCAAAGCACAAAGGCACAGGGGAGAGGGATCCTCCCTTCGCTCTTCAGGAGGACCAGCTTCAGGAGGTGTGAGAGGCCATGAAGCAGTACCAGTTACCGTGCCTTCAGAGGAAGGGGTAAGGGTCAGAAAGCACAAAATGCACCACAACACTAAGTTTTATAACGGGGATTTCCAACACACAGAATAAAGAAACTCATCCCGAGAGTCAAAAGTCAAAAGAAAAAAAAGTTAAGTCATGAGAGGTTATTTAGGAAATCTTAAAGTGACAGAGCGTGCAGAGCTCCCACAGATGATGGAGCAGAGATGCTGCCTGGCTCAGGGGACAGGTTCAGGGGACAACCCAGGTCACACCACAGGTATCAGCTGTAGGTACGACAGCTTGCAAGGGCTCCGACATGGATCAGAGGCACCAAACACACACACTACAAAACCACTGTCCCTGCCCAAGTCTCTCAACAACCTCAGTTGTCGAGAAGCTGACAAGTTGGAAAGATGAAAAGCTAACCCTGGTGGAGCTGATAGAAAGAAATATAAATCACTGACGGTAGGGAGCAAATTTACATGAGGATGGCTGCCACGAAACTGGGACAGTAGGTGGCCAAGATGAAACAACAAACAGAAAGCAAATGTCGTTTTTAGTTTATCAAAACCAGAAAACCTCTGGGGGAATCATTTAGTTGGCAGGGAGAGTGCAGTGGGGATGAGGACACCGCTGAAAACTCACACAAGCAAGCAGGTAACTTTTCTTGCACAGGATGCTGAGGAGAGTCCTCAGTATTCAATGTTGTTTAGTCTAAAGTGGGGGAAGGGGGTCTTCTATCAGAAGAGATGGGGAAAAGTGGCATTAGAACAGAAAGCCAGGTGGACACAGTGGATTATACCCAGGAATTCTGATGGAATTTGGAACTGGCTTGTTGAGATGCAGAGAGGTGCTCTCTCAATCAAACCAGCTGCCACTTCCAATCGCCAGAGGCCTGCAAGTGTTGTAAGCAGCACACGGCTACCTGACTGTGGGGAAAGGTTAATTCCTAGACAGAGCTCCCCATCAGAAATATGGTATATGAAGAAGCAACAGCTGCTGGGACGTGCCTTGCATTTCCCCACGGCCCCCATGCCAGAAGCAAGTCAAAAGTGAGACAAGGTGCATAAGGTAAAGAGCCAGCAGTAGCCGGGTTTCCATAAATCAGATGGACAGAAGACAAAGAACAGTTGCACCCCAGGGTGATGGGAGGTGGAAAAGGGGCATCCTGATGAAACCACGGGATTTCAGCCCTTGTACAACTGATCACCTCTCTGCCACCCTCCCAGCTGCTGCATCTTCCCCCTGGATTGACTCAGCCCACTTTGCAGAGCATCCCTCCTGGCTGCTTGACAGGTTGGTAGGTATAAGTGGTCCAAAGCCTCCCCAAGCTCAAGCACAAGCAGCTCTCCTCCCCCTGCCCATGCAAACACATGAGCTGACCTAGGTCCCTTTCCAGAAATCATCTCCCCCTGTCTTCAAGCTGCCATTGCCCACAACGTCTCATACACTGGAGGTCTAACCCTGCTCCCCAGCAGGCAGCTTCCAGCCTCATGCTACTGAAATCTTGGCAGCCCGCTGGAAAAGCAGCAAGCCCAGGGCAAACAGTGGCAATATCCCTTTACCCTGCAGGCCAGAGAAGTAAGAGGTTGCTCAGAATTCAGCAGGCTGGCAAGCACCAGGAGGTCAGGTAGGAAGACTCTGTCCTGGCAAGTGAATACAGACCTTAGGGAAAC